TTTGTGAAACAGCTAGTTAAAAATTATGACCACCTGACAGCTGAAGAACTAAGAATAATCAAAGAATTTATCAATACCAACTGACATTTTCGAGAATGGAAAATCTACGGGGCGTACCAGTCTTGCCCAGCATAGAATTTATACCGGCGATGCAAAGCCACCTAGAAGACTCCCCTTTGCTAAACAGAATGAAGTAGCAAATATGATAAAGGACATGATGGATGCAAATATTACTGAAGAAGCTTCTGGTCCCTGGTGCTCACCTGTGGTTTTAGTAACTAAGAAAGACGGAGCTACTAGTTTCTGTGTAGACTATAGAAGATTAAATCAGATAATGCAACAAGTGTAAATTAAAAATTAAAAAAAACCGACTTCAAAAACGTGCAGATGCCATCACCACATCTTAACCAAATTTATATGGGATCACCCCTGAGGTACCCCCTTACTAACAAAAAAAGAATCATATAAATCGGACAAGGTGGTAAAGCATTATCGCTAAACATACATAAAAAATGAAGAGTTTGAGGATTTTCTCATGGACCCAATTTTTAGATTTTGACCAAATTTATATGGGACCACCCCTGAAGTAGCCCCTTTCTAACAAAAAAAGAATCATATAAATCGGACAAGGTGGTAAAGCATTATCGCTAAACATACATCAAAAATAAAGAGTTTGAGGATTTTCTCATGGACCCAATTATTAGATTTTGACTAAATTTATATGGGACCACCCCTGAAGTACCCCCTTTCTAACAAAAAAAGAATCATTGAAATCGGACACCGTGTTAAAGAATAATCGCTGAACATACATAAAAAAAAAAATATCGCGACGAATTGATAACCTCCTCCTTTTTTGAAGTCGGTTAAAAAGACAACTATCCACTCCCCCGAATCGACGACATACTAAACATTCTATCAGGTGCAAAATGGTTTTCTATGCTAGACTTGAAGAGCGGAAGTACATCCTGACGATCGAGACAAAACTGTTTTTTCAACTGGCAGCGGATTATACAGATTCCAGGTTCTTCCGTTTGGTCTCTGTAATACCCCGGCAAAACTGACCCGGAGAAAATTGCAGCTGCCAGAGATTGGCCGAAACCAAGAGACAACAGGGAAATTAGAAGTTTTCTTGGACTGTGCTCATTTTACCGAAAATTCATCAAAGGCTATGGTCAAATTGCTAAACCCCTTCATCAGCTAACTGAAAACAGTAGTCTATTTGACTGGACGCCGGTTGGTCCAAATGCCTTCATTGAGTTAAAAAAACGATTGACCACGGCTCCCATCCTAGCGTACCCTCGGGAAAAAGGACAATTCATTTTAAACTGCGACGCATCCCAACACGGCGTGGGCGCCGTGCCGTGCTATCCCAAGAACAGGAAGGGAAAGAGAAAATAATTGGGAATTTTAGTACGACCTTAGGAAAAGCTGAGAAGAAAACAACTTTTAGCTTTTATCAAAGCCCTTGAACACTCCCATACTTAACTTTTTAACAAAAGTTTTATCACTAGAAGTGACCATAGCACCTTGCAGTGGCTGATGAATTTTAAAAAACCTGAAGAAGTTGCTAGATGGATAGAAAGGCTGCAACAATATAACTTCGAAGTCCATAGCAACGCAGATATTCTTTCCAGACGACCCTGTTTAGAACGACAATGTCGGTACTGTAAAAGTCTTGAAGAACGAGAGGATCTGGTTGAAGAAGTTAGTCTTCAGGCGACCATTTTCAAGCCAGAGGATGACGAACACGGAATCAGCCTTGAAAGCCTAAGAAAGATTCAAAAGAAAGGCAATGACTTGAAAGTTGTCCGAGAATGGCTCAAAAATGGAGTCAGACCTACATGGCAAGAGATAGTCAAATTTAGTTTTAACCATTAAAGGGAACTGGACTTAGTGGGATTCCATGTATCTTCACGATGGCCTATTGCACTGGAAGTGGGAGAGCCCCGATGGAGTACATGTAGTCCGCCAAGTGATATCTTGAAATCACAGGACAATAAGTTTGTTGGAGGAGCTTAATAGCAGCCGTTCAGGAGGACACTTTGGTACTAAAAGGACACTTGCATGAGTTCGGGAAAGATTTTGTTAGGTCAATTGCCGACGGGATGTAGAAAATTGGTGTAAGGAATGTGACCTTTGTAATGGCAGAAAAAGACCCAAAACAAGAAGTCGAGGTAAAATATCACAGTACCTTTCCGGAGAGTCTTTCGAACGAATCGTCACCACTTCGCTTAACAGAAAGGGGAAACAAATACTCGATGGTTGTTATAGACTATATTTCAAGGTGGCCCGAAATAGCACCGTCATTGCGAGACACGAAGTCCCCCTGGAATTGCATTCTGACTAAGGACGAAATTTTGAATCCGAATTAATGCAAGAATTGATGAAACTGTTAGCCATCAAGAAAGCACGCACTACGCTTCTCCATCTACAGTAGAAAGACAATAGAACCATATTATGCCAGTATCTTTCAATGTTCGTCTCTGATAATCAAAAGCACTGGGACATTTTAATTCCTCTATTTCTGCTAGCCTACCGAAGTTCTGAACATGAAACGACCAGTTATACTTCATCCATGATGATTACTGGAAGGGAGATGAAACTTCCCCATGATCTTCATTTTGGAAGGCAGTCAGTCTCCTGGTGAAGAAGACACCTCCCACGTACATACAAAACTTAGAAAGATTAGAGAAAGTATACGAATTCGCTCGGCAACGTTTGAAAGTCAATAGCGATAAAGCAAAAGCTAGAATCGACATAGGGGCACATTTTGAGAGGGGCGATCCAGTATGGATGTACAATCCCAAGCGCCGAAAAGGACTTTGTCAGAAACTGCAATGGAACTGGGAAGGCCCCTACACTGTCCTCAAGAAAATCGACCCGATCTAGCGAAATAAGTTGTCAGCAGGAATTAAACCCAAAGTAGTTCACATTGAAAAATTAGCCCTATATCATGGTCCAGATCCTCCTCGTTGGCTCCAACCAAGTTCCAGTAATCAAGTTATTCGAGACGAATAATTAGAGAAGAGGGAGCAATGTTACGCAGCACCCTGCTGCTGTTATAGGAAACGTACGAATACAAAAATAAATGCAATGTCACCAGGGTTGCCAACATTTCCATTTACCGTACATGGCCTCCCAGTACCGTACACTTTTATTTTGTAAAAAAAAACTATATTGTGTAAATATCTTTTTGTCGGGCTTCTATTTTTGTACAAACCAGGTCCTTTTGAACAACATGTGCTGTAAAAAGATGATTAAAATGACATTTTTACATTTAACAATGTCATTTTAATCTTCATTTAGTAATTTAAACTTCGTTAAAGGCTGTATGTCACGATACTAAATTAAGTACTAAATTTAGCACTAAATTAAGTTATTAATTTAGTACTAAATTTAGAACTAAAAATTTTTTTTTCCGTTTGCAACGATACCAATTTTTAGTACTAAATTTACTATAGGCGCACGCGCATTGACGTATTAATACGTAAAATTAACAGAGAAATGAAATATTATGTGTAAAACAGACAAGTAAATGGTGTTTTTATTATCAATTTGACACTAGTTGACTTGACAACAACCAAATACAGCATAAAAACCACGAAAAAAACACAATAAAACCTACAAAATCAAACAAGCAAACTTTATTCAAGGCGATAATGTAAAATTGTCGCTAATTAAAAATAAAAGGGTACAGAAAATACCGTCGTGTCAACTTTTTCTATGAAAAACTTCTGCGCAACATTTCGGCGCACTTTTAGTACTTAATTAATGACTTTTTTTAGCACTAAATTTAGTACTAAATTTGCTGTTTGCAACGTGAATTTTTTTAGTACTTAAAAAATGCATTAATTTAGTTCTAAATTTAGTACTTAATTTAGTATCGTGACATACAGCCTTAACACAACGGTGGAATCGGCCCTTACACAACTCAAAGTCTTTGCTAATTCTGTTCAAAATACCGTATGTTTACCGTACTTTTATGTACGGTAATGACTTTGGACCGTATACCGTACATTAATCGAAATTACCGTAGAAGTACGGTAATTACCGTACGATTGGCAACCCTGAATGTCACCCTTCACCCTACAGTGTTCTGCGGTCATCATAAGTAAAAGTACGAGTGAAAGAAGAAGATATAATAGTCCAGAAATGTCTGAAAATGTAATTCCTTGTCATTCATGTTATTAGTTGAATATCTGAATTGTAAGAGTTAAAATCAATTGAGTTACCAAAAACCTGCGTAACAATATTGATTCACTAATGATGTTTCAATCTTAAATATTTAAAATTCATGTGATAAGTTAGGATTAGTAATAAGATCTTTATTGTTGGATTTTTTCTATATGTATTAATTTTTGTTGGTTTTACATAATATAAGATTCTGGTAAAATGGTTGCCAATTGTACGATTGCCAATCGCAAATTATAGTACTAGAGGGCATTCGAGTATTACATAAACAGGCTTAGGGGGCGCGGGGTTCAACTGTTTCTTATTTTTGCTGACAAAGGGAGCGGGAGCATATTATAAATCTTATGTAAGATACAAAATAATAAAAATGTTTTCAAAATAATATTTTTAATTTATATTATTAATACTATTTTAATTTTAACTTTAATTGCCAATATAAATAAATTAATATAAACTTTTGGTACAAATTCCTTTCGATACCTTCGTTACATACAATAATTTAATCTATACAATGTTACGTTGTTTAAATATTATTATACATTTTAGAATCTCCTTGCCCAAGAGCTTGTGCTAAAAACTTGTGGGCTCGTGCGAAAAATATTGCTTTGCATATCAAATGACATAGTTTTTCAGAATTATTTCAGCAGAATAATTATATCTTTTATGACATAGATGTAATCATGAAACGATTTGACTATATCAAAATAAACACTGAAGATTTATTGTTTTATTACCAATAATAGTACAAGAAAGTCACGTATAGATCATAGAAAATAATAAAATTAAAAATGTATTTGCATGAAGCTTACTTTATATTGGTTGCGTTCCATAAGAACTCGAGCCATCTCAACTCTCGTAAATCTTTTTCGTTGTGCCATCGGCACATCGGCTTCTTCATCAGCGTCCTGTTTAGTTTCATTTGCTTCTTTGACTTTCTTAAGTTCTTCCTCCAAATCACTTATTCTTTCTCTAAGTTTGGTTCTGGAAACGTTTAATGATAAAATTTCTTCACGCAGCATATCAATTTCACCAGTCAATTCATCAACTTTGACAATAAGATCATCTTTGACCACGTTCAAAGCGTTCCTAAAAATAAATTTATTATTACTTAAGTAAAAAAAAAATTAAATGATTTATCTGATTATTCTAATAACCAATAATGCAGATGAGTAATATTTATGTATTAAAAATAAGAGCAATATCCTATGAATTAAAAATAACTTGTCACTATTAACATTTATGGGGTTACACAAAAAAACTAAAATAGTAATTTTAAGTTAATTTTAAAGCAAGTTTAAGATTTATAAAAAAAGTTTTAAAGGGTGATCTACAAAAAGTGTTTCTAAAGTAGGTCATGACCAACACAGAAAGATCTGTCCATGATAACTACGCACGGCTTTAAATTAAATCCATACTGCCACTTAAAAAAGAAGTGTACTATCCGACATACGTGAATTTTCCAAGGCCTACTTTAGAAACATATACACTCGGTAGCGCAGTATATTTACGGGCTTTTTCAGTGGTTTAGCGAACACGGCCTCAGAACAATGTTAATTTTTAATTAATCTTCATGGTTCATTGTAGGATTCGATAAACGCCGTATTAGCAGTAATGTAATTTCCGTTATTACAAATCGCAGTGCGTTACCGTTTCGATGATGGTGGGTGAGGTTTTCTGGATTTTCTTTACCTGTAAGTCAAATGGCACCACCAATCATCTTTAAGCCGAGACATAATAATAATAATAAATGACATTGTGAATAAACTCCGTATAGCAAGAATAGACTATGAAACAAACCTTCTTAGCAATGTATCCAAACAATTTTATAAATATATCCACAATCAGCTCAATTCAAAGATCAATGCCTTAATTCTAAGAAACCATGACACTCACTTGATCTCTGAATCTCAACTGGTAACTGAAATTTTTGCGGATCAATTTCATAGTGTGTTAGTAAAAGAGTCCTCTGACAATATCTACCTCTAGTCTAACTAACATTGAATGTACACGTCAAAACGTAGTTGAAGCACTAAAACAACAGGCTGCCCTGGACCAGATAGTCTCCTGTCCTACTTAAGTTTTGTGCTGAGGAATTAAGCGAACTACTTGCCCGAGTTATGAATGAATCTCTAACTGTGGACAGTTAGTCACTTATAAGATGACACGAACATTTTCGGTGACCATCAATCCAACACGGGCAGCTCAATGAGGATCTAAATACTTCGAAAAGATGGATCAACAATGCGCTAGGTTCAGTGTGATGTCATTTTGGTTCCACTGACATTTAATTCTAACCAAACTTTTAACAAAAACATCAATAAATTTGACATATACGTTTTTACTGTTTTTATTTTATTTCAAAATATTGTTTACAGGTCATAAAATTTAGTTTAAAGGTATGTAATTGGTAACTAAACGATTGTATATTTGATACATGCTATCTACTTACTTTAGGAATATATTTATAAAAGTGAAAAAACGATATAATTTAGGTAAACAAAACGAACAAAACGCACTCAAAAAATCTACTGTCACTTTAATTGTCAGTGGGACCATAATTACATCATCACTGAACTAGCGCATTGGTTGATACGCTTTAATGTCCAGAAATGCTGTGTACTCCACCTAGATCCAACTAACCTCCGCCTTGAATATAGTCTTCATAATAACTAACTGTAGCTCTAGCAGCTACAAACAGAATAACTTAGGAGTCGCCATTGCATCAGATCTTAAATGGACAGCACACAGATTGAAAAGGTAGTAAAGAGGAGAAATACTACTATCTATCTAATAAGGCGATTATTTAGTCCTATCAGTGAGGAGATGTTTCTGATGATGTATAAATCCTCGAGCATGCAGTAGTCTGGTCCCCATATTTCATTAAGGATATTAATCTTCTCGAGAGAGTTCAGCTACGTGCTACTAAACTTCCTTACACTCTATGTAGCAAATAATATGACGACAGACTTCATTCTCTAAACATAAGTATCCTTAAAGAGCGACGTTTTAAAGGAGACCTCATACAAACCCACAAAATATTGAATGGGCATTACTCAGTAGAAAGTGGCAGTGTTTTCATAAAAAACGAGAACAATTATTTACACAACCTAAAATTGCAAACTGAGAGAAGCCAGAAACTTTGCGTAGAAATTTCCTGACAAATATAGTGTGTGGAACGAGCTCCCAGGGGGAAGTCGTAACCTCAAATACCAAAATCAAATTTAAATACTCTCTAGATAGGCTGAGCCTCTGATAATCTTGTCAGTGTGATATATTGTGATAAAAACAATCTCTGATATCTATTATATATTTAATTTTATTGTGACTGAACTAACTTTAATAAAAATAATAATAATATCCGCCCCTCCCCCACACAAACTCAGACGACTTCAGGCGTTAAAATTCACTCGTAAGGGGATGAATTAGGGAGAGTATTATTATAACATTTTTTTTGTGGATCACTTATATTTCTATTGGCAACCATGGAGTGAGCCATAAATATTTCTAAAGTAGACATTGGAAGATTCACACATGTCGTAAAATACATGACTCATATCTTTCTTTGTTGGTCATTTGGACAAACACATTAAAAATCGATTAATCCAAATAAGTCTGAAAATGAAAAGAAAATGGGGCAAATAGTATTATTATACAACTGTTCCTGGAAAAGTTGCGAAAAATATCAACCTCTTATAATTTTTATGGGAGGTGCAGTCCCTTTTATGAGTAAAATAATCGACTTATTTTTGACATTAAAATATGTCATATAATTTTTGTATTATTGTATACAGCAACTTTATTTTTTCACAATAGTAGTTTGTGCAACAAGAGTGGATATGATGGCCATATCGCACGAAGACGAAATTTGGACACGACGCCGTAGGCGAGTTGTACAGTATATTTTTTCTGCGACCCACTACCGGAAATCTACAAATTAAAAATATATTTTAGGTTAATCAGGTCTTTTATGAATAAGCCAAAAATTTTGATTTTGTAACCATTTTAAAAAGCCAGTCCCCACATCTGAACTATGACAGTTCAGATTCAAATAAATTTTAGGACAATTATTATAAAAAAAAATTGAAATTTTTGGTTTGTATATAGAAAAAAATCGTTCCGATTCCAATTGTTATCTTGAAATAATACAGCCATATAGCAAATTAGGTGTCAATATCTGGATATGATCTGTCTTAGTTCCAGGAGCCGAAACCCAACCAAAATATGGCCTAAAGAAAAAAATGTCCCGCTCTCCTAATTTATTTTTTTATTTATGTCAGACTTGCAAATGTTTCATTTCTTATGGTTTTAGGTATATTTTATTTTAATATATATTTTTAGTTTTTCTTATAACTTGCGAATATATTATGTAATGTATTTTATATTATATTATGTTATTTATTTTAAGTTTTTAAGAAAGTCATTTTTTTATTTTTTTATTTATTATTTATGTGCATTTTTTTTGACCCAGGGGGTCCCGAAAAGTATATTGCACCGAGGCCCCCTGTGTCAAGCTACGCTACTGAGAATGGCCTACTATTACATACTGTATTCAACCCAATATTTTTGAAAACTGTTGTAGGCTGGCCAAGTGGTCAACAATTTTTTTTTGTGAAAATGTTGATTGATGCAGTACCAATAGCTTTTTTGTGTATTAAGAGCGGAAAGTGCTACTTTGCTGCTTGAGATAAAATGTTGCCGAGTGTCATACTAGTGGAGCGCGGCACCAAGACAGCACACCAAATCCTTTGGATATCTACTGGACATCCCAATATCCACTGAATGTCCAGTCCATGGTGGATATCTATTTTTTATCCATGAGATGTAATTTATAGACATGCAAATGTCCATAAATAATAGTAATTATATAGCAAATTATTAAAAAATTACGCCATTGTGCTCCCATTGTGGCTAATAGTACCGTTCAGATATTTAAAATTAATTTTTTTTAAGGTGTATTCAATATCCCATGGACGTCCACTAAATATATCAAAGTCTAGGCGCGAACGCAAACCATGGTGGGTATCCACTAGATGTAATTTTTGATTTTGCCCACTAAGAAGAAAGTCATTCTTGGAACGATTTCGTCCTTATTAGGACTAGAATTATTTCCTTTTTTAAGAATAGCCGGCCTGGCTTTTATTCCACCTAGTCTCTGAACTAGGTACTACAGCGACCTTTGATTTTGCTTACTAAGTACAGATGGCGATACCAATTTCGCTCGTTGAATATCTACTCATGCTCAACCCGCCGTAATTGAGTTCGATCTAAATTGGTATTGCAATCAGACTCCATTAGAGACTGGAGTCGAGAATTTCTATTTATTTCTGAAGAGTCCTAATAAGGATGACTTTCTCCTTAGTGGGCAAAATCAAAGGTAGAGTGTTAAAAATATTTTATATCTCTGCTATTTTCTTTCGACATTATTCAATAATCATTGGTTACTTAGGAACCTCTACTAAAGATACCCATAAAATATTTTGCTGAATATCCATAGAAAATCTTCTATATCCTGGGATATAGACGGACATTTAGTTATCCATACTGGATATATTGGATATCCACAAAATATATTCTGTGGATATCTCTGGGATTTCTTGTATTGTCTGGGAGATACCCATTAGATATTTTGCTGGATATCCATAGGATATCTTCTATATTCTGGATATAGACGGACATTTGGATATCCATATTAGATCCACGGGATATTTCTGATATCCTGTGGATATATTGGATATCCACAAAAGATATTCTGTGGATATCTCTGGGATTTGGTGTGTTGTCTGGGAATTTATCGTAAGCGACAAATAGTTATCCGCTCGAATTACACATGCGATTTTTTTGACGATCAAACGATACAATGTTTATTTGACAGCGAAGTGGCAAGGAATCAATTCTTTAAAATAATTTGTATAATAGATACTACTACATAGACAGTAGTTAAATGAAGTGTTTGCTTGTATTAACAAAGAATCCTACATAACCTTATGACATTGACGATACTGCCAGTACCAGGCTTCGTCATTTTACATAGTTAAGTAAATTTTATTTATAGTTAATTAATAATAGTAATTATAGTTATAGTTTTTAAAATTGTTTTTTAATATAATTATCAGCTTTATAAGGAAAATTCTATTACTCCCCCAGGGGAGGTGTAATAGTAAAATATTATTATAGTTAGTTAACCTTTAGATACAGTATGGTTCAAATGAAAGGAATAAATTCATTATAATGGAACTAGTTGGTTTTTCGAAAAAATGCTCGGACAGGTCAATTTTGTTTACTCAAAGCCCAATTTTTTAAGTAGAATTCAATTTTCCCCCACTTCCCATTTTTGGGTAATGACGTCATTGACAATTTTTTTAAATAGTAACCCCAATTTTTTTTTCTTGATTTTGTTAGATCTTGCAATTTCCTACTCGGAAACATAATATTTGAAATATCTTACATAACAATTTTTTTTGAATAAAAGTAATTTAAAGATCAGACACATAAATTTTATTTTATTTTGAGAACACAATAAATTAATAAAAGATAATTAATTGTAATTAAGTGCTTAATTAAACAAAATAATATTAATATTATTAATAATAATAATAATAAAAAGAATTTGTGAAATTGTCATTAAATTCTTTTAATTATTATTATTATTATTATTTTAGATGAAGCACTTAATTACAAATAATCTTTTATTTATTTATTGTGTTTCAAAATAAAATAAAATTTATGTATCTGATCTTTAAATGACTTTTATTCAAAAAAAATTATTATGTCAGATATTTCAAATATTATGTTTCCGAGTAGAAAATTGCAAGATCTATCAAAATCAAGAAAAAAAAATTGGTGTTACTATTTAAAAAAATTGTCAATGACGTCACTGCCCAAAAATGGGAAGAGGGGGAAAATTGAATTCTATTTAAAAAATTGCGCTTTGAGTAAACAAAATTGACCTGTCCGAGCATTTTTTCGAAAAACCAACTACTTCCATTATAATGAATTTATTCCTTTCATTTGAACCATACCGTATATACTTTAACATGACTCACTATTACCAGGCAAGTATCGGTATTAAATTCAATATATCACATCCTGTTCTACATAGTGATAGCGAGTTAGGAATCATAATATATTCGTTACAATAATTTGTATAATAAAATAAGATAGTATTGAACAGACAGTTAAATTGAAGTGTTGACTTTTATTAACAAATAAACCTAAATAACCTTTAAGACATTATAGGGTAATCTATTTTTAATACTTTAATTATCGTTTAATGAATATTTGATGTTCAACTATATTCAGAGTATTCTACATTTTGTTTTAAAATACCGATTAGCTTTAATAATGACTACTTACCTTTCTTTTAATTATTAACTTTGGCGCGCTAGAGCACCAATAATGCCAAACTATGACAAATCGCGGAAAACGTTAACTTTCCAGTTATATTTAAATATGCAAAGGCCTATTTTGGATAGTGATCGCAGAAAAAATATATTTATCTTTAAATTATAACGATGTAAATATATTTGTAGGGCTTATTGTAAAATCTAATAGCGTATAATTTTAGTATATTGTAAAATATCGATCATAATGATAATTAGTGACCTTATTTCCGTAGATTATAAATACTTTGGTACATTTACTTACTTTGTTGCTAACAGTTCATTATTTTCCATTATAAGGTTTTCAACTTCTTTCCCCATACCTAAAAAAATTAATTAATTAAAGAAAAAAAAATTTAAAAATAGATGTGTAAAATATATCATAGTTAATTCAAGGAAGCTCCCAAAATACGAAATTTAAATACTTGTATTTATGTTGAAAGTACTCAGAGTTTGATGCATTGCACCTATTGAGTCATTTTCTATACTGCTAACAAGTTATAAAAGTAATTTTAAAAAACCGACTTCAAAATCATGCCGATGCTATCACCACCTCTTTATCTAATTTATAGGAGACCACACCTGAGGTACCCCATTACTAACAAAAAAAGAATCATAGAAATCGGACAAGGTGGTAAAGAATTACCGCTAAACATACATAAAAAATGAAGAGTGAGGATTTTCTAATGGACCCAATTACTAGATTTTGATCCAATTGATATGGGACCACCCCTGAAGTACCCCCTTTCTAACAAAAAAAGAATCATTGAAATCGGACACCGTGTTAAAGAATTATCGCTGAACATACATAAAAAAAATATTACGACAAATTGAGAACCTCCTCCTTTTTTGAAGTCGGTTAAAAACAAGTCTTTAAACTCGTTTTATTAATACTTTTTTAATACAGTTTTTGGTCAAAAAGTGCTGAACGATCAGTATAATTTTGTAGCAACCAGCAACTCGTTTCCTGTATAAATCTGTCTATAAAAATTACTGACATAAACTCCAGTTCAGGAATGGCTAGATAATACTTTTCCTACAAGCCTCATATGTGATTCAGAACGACATGTTTAAAGCAGTAAAACTATTCGTAAAGTTGTTTTACTCAAAACAGTATACATTTTCAAATATACTAAAACCGAATTCTTATAACAACACCAGTTGGTATATTGCCGCAAATGGGACTCAAGGCATATAGCAAGGGAATGCCATGCTACAAGTGGTCCGGTGTGCTCTCCAAAAATTAATTCTGGTTTTCTTGGTTCCTTCCCATATACATTTTAATTGAGCACAAAATAAAATAATATATACACAATTAAATGTAAAACTAGGAATTTATTATAGATACTTACCATAAAAATTATCGTTGACTTTCCATTTCAAGGTTAAATGAAACAAAAAAAGTGTTAGTTATAACATTAGTTTGGAAGTAAACAGTCACAAGTAAAAAATTAGTAATTTTCAGGAAAGCTTTATAAAAAATTCCTCTTTTGACTCGTGATTGTTCTCTTGTAAACCAACGATAAGCATTAGTAGATATTTGGTAATTAACATTGGGCAGGTATATAAAATTTATGTTAAATTTGTTATTCTTAATTTTAAATTTGTATCCTGAAGACATGAAGAAATTTTTGAGTCTGAGTGGGTTTATTCCACAATAGACAATTATACCCAGAAAAAATCCATACTATTTTAAATTTGAATTTATTTTTCATCCCCAAAATTGCAAATTATTGTCTCATGCCTCTATAACTTAATTGTGTATTATAAAGCCCTGTTAAGTGTGGAGAAATTATTAAAATAAAATTAATAATCAAAGTTTAATACATATATACATTGTTAGTTGCAAGAAACGTCATGAAATGCTATTTAAATTCTCGAGAATATTTAGAGAAGAAAATTTCATTTTTGACAGGTCCTGGTATTAATGTTTTTAATTCAAGCTTAAGTGTATTATTTAAAGATAAATAATGAGCGCTTGTATTATATTGTAAGTAATTAGAAAGTCTTGTTAAAATGTATCAAAAAGTTTCATATTTTACTTGTCTTACCTGAAGATGCATATTCACCTGGGTGAACCCAGCCACCTAAAACAAACAGTAATACAATTTTTTTTAAATCTGAATATTTAATGTCCAATACCCCTTACAAAATTAAGAAATGTATCCCCACATCCCGAAGTGAAAACAAACCAAAGAAAACTTGAAAAAGCTGATAAATAAAGAAGTGCATCGGCCAGGGATCGAACCTGGAACCTGCGACATGGGCCGTTGACGCCTCTAACAATTGGACCACCGAAACACATAGCTATGACAGTCTGCTTAAAGCCTCAGGTGGCTTTAAGGAGTATTGACAGTACTAGGAGGTGGGGAGAAGAATGAGTGTCGGAATCCAATGACTTAAAAACTACAAATTCGACCGTCGAAGTTATGGGTCTTACTTTGGGAATGTTGTATGAGGGGTTTTCTTGCTACAGAGAAAACGGTTTCTTACGAGTGACGTTTTTTTTGACGGCTCTCGGGCGCCAGGTTATTTAATGTGGTTCTCTCCACAAACTCTCGAAGCAGCTTTAAAAAGATCACTTACACACAGGTAATAAGTAGCACCAAGCAACGGGCTTTAATTGTTGCTTGCGCTTGCAAAGAATTTCTCACTGGCTGAAAAGTAAGTAAGTAAGTAAGTAAGTAAAGTAATGAAATTAGCATTACACAATAACCTCAATAATACGCCAGAATAACGGTGACACACATATATTAGGTTTAAAATAATACAAAAATCATATTAGATAAATATCTTAACGCCCACACTCGTATCTGGTAATGATTTAAAACCCTAAACAAAAATCAACAAACAAAACGGCCAGTATATGACTTCCGAATAGCCTCAATTAGATGTCGAAATTAAATTAAAAATTACAGGCACGGTTGGGGAAAAATTAACTCTTGAATTAGTTAAACGGTAAGGCCCATATCTACGGTTGACTCCAAAATGGACTAAAGTTTAACTCTATTTGGCTAAGGAAAATATTATTACTTGAGAGTGCGGGAAGACAGGTTCAAGGACCAAACAGGGAATTTACGAAATCATGCAAAAGTGACTCAGCTGAGAGTTCAGTAACAAGCAACTTAGCTGCAGAATTGGGTCTAGTCTCACAAAACGCCTAAACCAAGAATGATCCAGTCGTTATCACTGCACTCTCATGCAAGGAATTGACGCTTGTTGGTGAATATCCAAATTCGGGAATTAATTTGAAGAAAAGGGAAACTACGATCGTGGATAGTATCTAAACCTAGAATGATCCGGTCGTCATCACGGCCCTCTTATCCAAGAAAATTAATCTATATGAGATTTATTCAAAATTGAATCCGTCGCGGAGCTGAACCTCTGTGTACTTGTAAATGCGGGAATTCACTTTATATAAAAGGAACTACTCTGATCACGGATAGCATCTAAACCAAGAATGATCCCATCGTCATCACAGCCTTCTCATCCAAGAAAATGATACTATTTGGTATTTTTCCTAAAGCCGACAATTTATTGCAAAACTATACTACAAAAGGAAATGTCCCCTCCAAAACTATTCCCAAAATTGACAATTCAACGTGTAAAATCAAACAGTTAACTACTATTAATTTATATCAAAATCTAATTTACAAGTCAACATTTGAAAACAAGAAAATTTCAAACGTTACCACAGAACGGATTTATTGCAGTCAAAATATGAATAACCAAACTTACTTTCAAGTATCTTTTATTTTTTTTTTTTTTATAAAAAAAAAAATAAATCAAAATTCGGAATATTTTACACTCTCCACTAAAAGGATTTATTAATTTTAAAGTATTCAATCTAATTATATTTCAACATCAAACGCATCAATTCGGAAAAACGAGAAATATTTTACAAAAATATTCTTCACAATAATTTAAAACGGCTTCTAAATAGCGGTGAAACGAAACAAAAATCTTTATTATGGTCTATGATGATAAGAACATATAAAAAAGAATATATAAAAAACCGGTGGTTACCTTGAGAAAGAATAAAATTCGAAGCTAGCTAATTTTCGGTGTAATTGCAGCGAATCAATAATCTGTCTCGCATGTTGAATCAAACCAGTCCCCTAAAAGCCAGTACTACCACCCATCACTCCGTGATCGAGGTTCGCGCACCTAAGGCTACACTTGATGAAACCTGGATACACTTTTCGTGAGGCGGGAATCATTTATTGTTATTGATTAGGAATATAGTAATGGGAAAAAATGACTTCATTACAGTGGGGATACATTTCTTAATTTCTTAGGAAAATTTTGGATCATATTTTCTAAAAATGTTATTTTTCAGTTTTCGGTTTTGAACCGATTTTCTCAAATTTCTTTGTTAATAAAAATTAATAATAAAAATAAGCACAATGTTTTAAAGTGTGACATAATAATTTTGTGAACTAAACTAAACAGACTTTCCAAATTATGATACTTTACAATGGTAAATGTGTTGTAATTATTTTTATTTTACCTGTAATGTCCCCTGCATCATCATCCGCATCAACATCCTGTAAATTAGAAGAAAAATTAATTTACAATAAACTTAAAAAGTGAGCAAGTCCTTACGTGATAACTTAATTCCTGATACAAAGTATTGCCGCTCCTTTGTTCCTTTTTGGTATTTAATCGTCCATTATTATTTTGCGGTGCTTGTGGACTAACTGGAGATGTAATTACGCTTTTATTTTCCAAATTTAAAGAATCTGTTGTTTGTCCCCTTTCCACCTTGCTGATGCCATCTCGTAAATTGTCCATCTCACTGTGTAAACTTTAAAATTAATAAGTAAAATGTATACATAAATTACGTTTAAAAAAGTTATTAAGATGTAAATGTTTACCTTGGTGAGGAGTGAACACTGCTAATAGGCGATGATGGTACGCTATCAACAATTTCTGCATTTGCTAAAGATTCAAAACCAAATGATATGGGTCCAGAACTTCTTCCCACATTTAACCGATTCGAGTTTAATCTTCCCGCGTCTACTCTTTCATTAGCTAGTTGTTGACTAGAATGTAACAATTTTGTCCTTTCCATGTAATCTACATGAGTTTTGAACAATTCTGTATATCTTTCATGTAGTTTGGCATATTCTTTTTTCAGTTCTCCTTCTCTTTCTTCTAATCTACCAGCATGTTCCATGGAATTTTTGTGTTTCAGTTCCAGCATACGAACTATGCTCTCCAGAGCTTCTAAACGAGTCGACATTTCTTTGCGTTCTCCTAAAAATATAACATGATTTTGTAACAAGGAATTGATTAAGACATGAAGAATACAATTTAGATATCAACTTTAAAGTAAAGAATAAATTGTTTCAAACAATAAATTTTTTCTAATGTAATAAAAACCTTTCCAACTAAACTCAAATTTACATTGACAATTAAAACACTCGCCTGCCAAATGGAAACGCCTTGATTTAATGTAGATTATGAAGACTAGTCTTTATAATGTAGATTTAACCTAAATTACCTTAATCCGCATTATAAGGGTGCTAGAGCAAGTCAATTTTTTCAACAACTAACAATAATTGTTTGACTTTAAAACTATTTCCAGTTTTCATCTGTTAAATTTTGTTGTTTTGCCAAAGCCAACTTAGTATTGTAATAAATAAATTTCTTAAGCGCAAGAAAAACAAAAAATTCAAAGTAAATTTTCTCGAAAATGGTGCGTCTTGAAGATTTCAAACAAGAGTACATTATTTTTAGAATATACTTTACAGTTTACAATTATTACATAAATGTGTATATAACAGTACACACTTCAATATAAATGGCGATACAGAAGCTGGAAATATAATTACAACTAAATTGGAGGTACAAACTGTTTGAAGATGCTTGGTAAAATTTAAAAAAAGTAGTTGGTAATGTAATACTGCATACATCATAATCATCATTTCTAAAAGAATATATTTTGTGACAGTTTTTTAAGGTAGATGAGAAATTCATTTATACTATATCATCAAATGATTCTTATATATTTATTCATTGATGTGTATGACAATTCAGCGATATTCAGTTTTCCAGTTGGTACCTACTACTTACCATAAAGGGGACAACACAAAGTTTCTGAAAAGTTTAGCCATGACTTACCAAACAGCATGCTTACAATGTATAAAATAATACTAGACTTTAAAGACGTCAATTGTATATAAATTTTTTGTGAATTATCCTGTCAGTTTTTTTACATGGAAGTAATTTGTGATTATTTGAATTATTATTCGTATAAAATATTTTAACAACTATAAATAAAATCTATTATATATGTGACTAAAAACAAACCACTAAATTAATGGAACACTAAATTGAATTTTTAGGTATTGGCATTACTAAGGCTAAACCAAGTAGAAGTTCTTCACATTACTAGCTCTGGCTTTTAAGAACCATTCCATGTCGCCTTTTGATTAGGGTTCTTATGTAAAAATATTAGGACTGTTTGCCCCTCAAGCCTACCCATGTATAAATATAAGAGAAGAGTATAATAAAACGTTTACACACATTTCATTTCTTCATTTGCCATTGTGTACATATCTACAACCTTTGATTACACATAAGTGCTCCTTAACCCTTGAGTCTATCCATGTCAGAATATTTGTACCTTTACTTCTTATGCCTACATATGTAAAAATATTTGGACCATTTACCCCTAAGTCTGGTGATGTAAAAATATTTGGACTTCAACATCTGCGACTTGTATTGACAACATTTTCACAAACTTAAGTAGAGAATGTTGATACTGGGGTCTTTGAGCTTGTGTATCGGGCCATCGTGCTCAATATCTAGTACTTAGAAAGTGTTCAAAAAATAAAAAATTTAATAAGGTTAGTAAAAGAGTAATTACTAAAAAGGGGTTATTTCAACTAAAAGTGGAACTCACTGATGTTAATTGGAGAAGTTTTCAAATCAATCAAGACATCAAATACTTGGGTTCTTTCTTACAGAATACCTATATCAATTTAATCTCTAAAGAATGTCCATTGAAAAGTTACTCAGATAAAATTAAAAATTGGTTCAATAAAGATTTAAAAACTATAAGAAATACCATGTTTGCACTTGAAGACCATCTCTGAAGTTACTAAGGATCTAATGTGCTGATTTTCAAAAAATAAAAATTATTATAACCTGTACTTAAGGTAGTTCACTCGCGAAAGTCATACACAAAAATATCGCCTAATGGTGAATACCAAAAGTTCGAGATTCTCAATGCGAAAAAATGTTATTTTTGTAAGAGACTGTACACAACACATGTAAGCTTACATATAGGGATACGTTATTATTTCAAGTAAAATCCATCCAGCAATGTTGGAAATATATGAATGGTGGGCTATCAAGTGAGTGTGACTTCCTCATACTAATTTTAGTAATTTTCAACCAGAACTGTCAATTCCAGTTCTCAAATACAGTGGACGAATTAATTTTTCAAGGAAACGTGGCGAGGTTATAACAACCTCTTAGCTGATCAAGAGTAATTCAGTGATTCTGAACTAGTTTCAGAAAGAACCAAAACAAGCCTAAAGTTATCTAACAGACATATGAGTTACCGCGCGTTAAGTGTAGCGATTACAATGTTGCCAAGTTGTAATCATTGTACCCCACTACGCTTCGACTGCTTTAAAAATATTGTTATTTTAAAAATCTATATATTTTTACCAAAACGTTAAAAAAATCAGCGTTTTTTTAGAAAATTTTATATCTTCTTGATTTACATTACATTAGTTTTTAAAAAATATAGTAAGAACTGTTTTCGAGATATCTTGAAATAAATGCATTGCTTGTGTATATGACCAGGCTTCAAGAGTGTTAATTATGCACAATTTGATTGTTAATATCTCGTTTCACAGATGGTGTGATCAGAAATCAAGAAAAGTGTTGAAAAATGGGGGTAATAAAATTTCCTCGTTGGCACAAATTTAATAGTGAAGCCCCAAGGGAAGGGGGGCCTCAGTAGAGGAAGTAGCTTCAAAGAATTACCTTCAGCTGCATCTTCATACTCCAATAGTTTTTGTTCTGAAGCCTTCCTAGCCCCCTTTTCTCTTTCATATTGGGTAACTAGTTGTTCATTATCTTCTCTTAATAATTCTAATTCAACATCCTGTTCCTAAAATATAGTAATTAAATTTTAACAAACTAGAAATTGATGATCTAATTATTATTTGGAAATAAGGCCATAAATATGATGAATTATAAATTTTTTAATGAGTTAATTATGGATATTGATATTTTAGTATCTTGTACTTTTTTAATTTTTAATAGGTAATTCTTATTCATTATATATTCTCTAAAAAGTTATTTAACAAAAAAATAACATAATATACAATTTTTCTAACATACCTACATGCAAATTATCTATAGCTTCTTTTTCATTTAATAATTTCCTCTCTAATCAATACCTTGCTTTTTGTAACAGGAATGTAACCCAAATTTGATTTGAACTATTTAATTTAAAAGATAATCTTGTAGTTTAGTGTTCTATTAATGGGCATATATCCACTCCACTCTGCACTGACATTTACAATTTTAATTTTACCCCTGCCACGTTGTTAGCATACATTCATTATGTTCGACCATTTTTTTAAATTTTGAGTGTTTCACAAAAAAAATTAAAATAAAAGCATATTTTTATGTTTTATGTAAAATATTACACTGCCTAAAACAATTAATGTAAACCACAGGCTGAAGGACCTCGGTTAATGGCCTTTTGTAACTTTCTTTAAGTTTCAATAAAGCCCTTTTATTATTATTATTATTATAAAAATTTTCCTTGCACTCAAAATATATGTTTGACAGCATCTCTTATAACACAAGTTTGCTTTTTCCTAGATTTGTAATATTACTATATAACCCTGGCAACTATGTAACAATTCCGATTGTTAGGAGTTGGAGCAGCAATGGTGTAGATAAGCACATTAAGGACACTAAACTACATGATTACCAATAATTGAGATCTAAATTAGTTTTAAGGAATGGAGAGTAGTTTCAGGAAATTTTGCAACATCACTCACAATGAGTCGCAGTGGGAAACAGCACATGAGGTTGGAATTGAAGGGGACTCTTGCCGTGTTGCAAAATATTCTGAAACTATTCTAGATTTTTCAGATATCTTAGTATTAAACTCATTAGTCTTCCTAAGAAAAATTACTAATGATGCTTAAGAGAAGTAAAATCAACTAACTTTATAGTAAAACATATAAATTTATCCCATTTAAATATTTGTAAAATATAACATTAAAAGTAACAGATATTTCCAATTTTATGATTAATAAATTTTAAGATTATTTTATAAATTGCTTCACACATAATGTAGGTAGATAAAAATTCTGATTTAAAAGTTGGATTGATGAAAAATAATATAATACCAACTTTATACAAATAGGGTACCTGTCTATGTGAAATGTTGATATTAATAATTTTTAGGAACACCTATGTTAGTCAATAAAGAATTAAATCAATGTAAAGCACCATCACTAATGTACATAGTTCTTTCAAATGGTTTAATTTTTTTTATTAAAGCATAAATAAAGAAAAATTGGTTAGGACTTATTTTGTATCATTTCGTTTAATTTTCTATCTTATTTTTTCTAATACCTAATTATTCTAAGTAAATAAAATGTCTAATACTTATTACTGACAGTAGAGTTTACAATGTGTGTTAATCAACACATTGATTCAAATCCTTCATTAACTTTTTGAATACAATAAAATTCCATGTCCCACCTGATTTTGTTGATAAGCAGCATCTAGACATTCTAAAACATTAACCAAAAGGGGCATCAAAGTCTTCACAACATCTTCATCATATCTGGCAATCATTCTTTCAAATTCTTGGTAGATACTTCCAGCCAGAGACTGGACTTTCTCAGACATAACAACATGGGAATCTTCATGGGTTCCGTAGACGGTCTCAACTCCTAAACCAATGCTACCCCCTGAATCTTCTAAATTCATTGTTTTGTTGATTAATTACCACTTTGGAAAGAACCTAATTTTTAAAAACTATAATGGACATTTCACTTCTAACGTAATAAGTTACTGTATAGTTTAGATTAGTGAAAGCGATACATGATTTATTCCACTTTAGATCGAAGGGCGTTCTTGCAAAGCAAATTTTATTTTTATTAAACCTACTGACTTTGACAACTCCGTCAGACGTAAATATATCACATCATCTTTTTCCATAAATCTGCGCAAATGCTCTGATGCCAAGAAATTTTGCGCAGTAGTGAATGTTCTTTTGTCACCTTAATTAAGACTAACTGGAGGAATTTCCATTACATGGTTGACAAAATTGTATCTTTAGTACGAGGGGCGATTGATAAATATTAAAAGAAATACAAATCGAAGATTAGGTAAAAATTGCATAGTTCCTTTACTAACAGCTAATAGACATGCCAAAAATAATGCTTTTTACAAGTGACGTTTACTTATTTAACAAAGAAAAAAGACCATTATCAATTTCTGTAACTTTGTGAGAGGCAACAAAACAAACTCAGTAAACCTAATACATTTGGGGTACACCACCATAGACCATGAATTGGCCACTCTAGTTCATTGGTTCATAGAACATAGGGTGTATAATCGGTTGAGCTGATGATGAACGATCGTTTTGTTTACGCTTTGTTTTCTTAACCATAAATTTCCTATAATTAACAATTACTACCGTGTAATACTCTATAGCTTCATAATTGAATATCCATTGAAATTCAAAATCGAAAGAAATTTTCGTTTAATCAAAATCGAGACAAAATGCTAAAAACAAAATTGACAGAGGTTCAAGGAAATATGAAGATACAGAATGCTCCTCCGTCAAAATAGAAACATCTCATTATATCTGGAATATACTAGAAACATTATCACGTTGACTCAGGAATGTACGCGAAAGCGCCTCCGCCATAGTCGTCACATATGTTTGGTCTTAAGGGGTTTAATTGTATGATAATCGAACAAGTTGAGCATCAAAGGTCAAATAAGACAGAGAGGGACTTAGAGGATTAGAGCATGACTGAACAATGAAATAGCTCGCATTACAATATTATTTTTACATCGGCATTGTTACAAACAATTTTTATGAGTCGAAAGAAGACTAATTTTATATGAGTATTACAGACTACAGTCCTTAATGAAATAAAAAACTAGAATGAAAATATATAATGCTTGGCATTCTACCTATATTATATTCTTCACAAGGTTTGTTAGGGTTTCTTTAAAACTCGATGCAAACCGTCCAAAAACCAGTGGAACTGTTGAATTCCAAATTATTCGTCGCGTACAACTACATATTAAACTGCCCACTGGTCAACTAGTTATCTGATAGTTATTCTCAATCTATATTTTGGAAGAACCCGAACAGACCTATAGTTTAACAGATTCCCCTAAATCCCATCTTCAATTAATTTTTTTTCAGAATCAATACGCTTCATCCCCTTTTCCTGAAAATTTCAATTTGATATCGTTTTTTTATTTCTAAGTTAGGATTTTTTCAATATTTCAACCCTCCTTATATTACCCAATTTTGATCCAGATTTTTTTAGAATTAATAGGCTTCAATAGGCTTATTTTCCTTATAGAGCTTTATTTTCACTAAAAATTTCATGTTGATACCGTTTTTGATGTTTGATTTCAATTTTTTTTTATTTCAATCCCTCTTAACCCCCCATTTTGTTAACATTTTTTTTTAATCAATTGTTTTTGTCCCCTTATAGAGCTTGATTTTTACTAAAAATTTTAGGTTGATATTATTTTTCATTTTTGAGTTATGATTTTTTTTTTAACTTTAATCCACCATTTTTATTCAGATTTTTCCAGAATCAATAGGCTTCATCCCCTTATAAAGCTTGATTTTCTTCAAGATTTAAAATTGATATCGTTTTTTGTTTCTGAGTTTGATTTCTTCTTTTCAGACTCAATAGGCTTCATTCCCTTGTAGATATTGATTTCTAATTAATATTTCATGTTGATATCGCTTTTCATTTTTGATTTATGATTTTTATATTTTTAATCAGAGGGCTTTTTCTTTTTATAGAGCATGTTTTTTGCCAAAAATGTCAAGTTAATATCATTTTTCGTTACTGAGTTTTTCAATATTTGAACCCCCCTTGCCCCCATTTTTCTTTTCTTTTTTGATTTATGATTTTTGTTTTAATTTTTACACCCCCTTAACTCCCACATTTTTAATCGGATTTTTTCAAAATCAAAGGGGTTTCTTTCTCTTATACAGCTTGATTTTTGCTAAAAATTTCAAGTTGATATCATTATTCATTTTTGAGTTAGGAATTTTTTTAATGTTTCAACCCCCCTTAATCCCCATTTTTATTCAGATTTTTTCTAAAATCAATAGGCTTCGTCCTCTTATAGAGCGTTATTTCTCTTGAAATTTTCAAATTGATATCGTTTTCCATTTTTAACTTATTATGCGGACAAAAAACGTGACATCGGACGGACGAAGCGAATGCATAATACCATTGTATAAATATATTATAATACTTTTCACATACTACTGTGTGAAGATAGTATAATAATAAAACAACTTTATTGAAAACAGATAAATAAACAACAAGATCTTACCAAAAACATATGACACGTCACGACGCCCCTACAGTAGAAATGTAAGACAACTTATTTAGAACAGTAATCAGAGACGATATTAGATGCAAAGTTTTATTTTTTTATTTATTTATCTACAACACCTAACAGTTTTAGCCAATTACAGGGTGAGGAATTTAAGATTACAATTGCATATAAAATTATCTACTTATCAAAGAGTATCTGCAGGAATATTAATTTAAGAATGCATTTTTTATTGAGAATACAGATGAGTTGAATATATCAGGTTGGTAACTTATTAAATTATAATGTGAACACATTCGAAACAACGGTGAGTTTTGTAAAATATTGGTTCGCGCAGTTATTGACAGATGAAAGGTAATGTTGCTTCGAGATGCAATCCTAGGAACATTAAAATGAGATTTTGGTAACAAATTGAATGTCATCTACCAAATTATTAACTTGTACAAAAAAACTACTGATTGACACTGTCTACGTATGGATATGCGATGAATCGATTCTAAGTTTTCAGAATGTACTTTGTAGTGTAGACTCCATACTACCGGAGCATATTCAAGTTTGGATCTGACGTACGCATAATATAAAGTTTTTAAGGTTTGTAAGTATTGAAATCCCTACTATTTCTCGCTAAAAATCCATACAAGTAATTGTACAGCACTGATTCGGCCTCATTCCCCATGTTAATTCCCATAAGAAATCGCCAAGGTTCAAAATAGCAATTTTTGTCTAAATCAAGGGGTTAAATGAGAAGGCAAAATGTGCAAACCCTATGGGAAGGCAAAATGTGCAAACCATCTGTTGAATACCTGCATCCTGTTATAATATATGCATGTAATTTAATATCTCTGGGAATAATCACACGCTGTGCTATTCGCGGCAGGTGTCGCAACGAATGGGTGTATAAGAAGAAACGAAGATAATTCTCAATACGTTTCATTTAAATGGGGGTAATTAATTAGCACTCAAGATGAGACTTGTCGAAAAAAATAAATGCTTGTGAATAAAATTAAAAAATAATATTCAAACGATAATTGGAATACCGAAGCAATTACTAAAGAAAAAATTCACATAGTGTTCACTATTTTAAGAAACGATGATTGTGTACTTATGTTTATATATAAGAAAAACCAGAATTTATGCAGTTCATTTCCCCACCATCTTATATATTGTTTATCAATATAAGGAGATAGAACTATGGCGCGTTTTATTTTAGAGTGGTATCCCCTGGAGGCCTAATCCACTTGCAATAAAGTAGTTAGGTAATCATATCTTTTATATATCTAGATTGATATACATATTTTTATATGGCCCTTTTGATATATAGAATCTTTTTTTTAATGGCTCTTTTTGTAAACCTCATCGGCTCTAGATTGTGCCTTGGGTACCGATGGGAATTGGCATCTTTTTACTTATCTTGATTTATTTTTTATATGGCTCTTTTGATAATTGCTATAAATTGGTTTATTTTTTAATGGCTCTTTTTTACCTCATCGGCTCTAGATTGTAACTAGGGCACCGATAAGAATTGGCATCTTTTTACTTATCTAGATTGATTTTTATATGGCTCTTTTAATAAATAGAATATTTTTTTAAATGGTTCTTTTTGTTTACCTCTCTAGAGAATTCTTTTTTTCCACGGTAACATGAGATCTTTTTAATGTCTCTTTTAGAAATGAATACCTAACCACTTTAATACTAATTTTAGCAAAATAGCATATTATAATTCAGAAGATTCATCCAATTTTAAAACTTACCACCCATAGGATCATCATTGATTGAATAATGACCCCATGGTAACGTTTCATCTGACCCAGTAATTAGAATTCTTTTATCATCTTCATGACTGAGTGCTACTTTTCGTTGAGTAATTGAATGTACTTTATGCTTTTCGGATCGTATTAAATTTTGAGAGACAGTTTTAGATCTAAAACTCTCTAAACATTCAACGTAATCTTCAAAGGTTATGACTGATTTTACTACAGATGACTTTACACCCTTAGCCTTCTTTGTCACGCCGTAATTTTTTATAATTTCTTCAATTTCACTCTGATCATACTCCATTTCCTCAAGCTCCTTCTTCTTCTTCATAATATCCTCAGTCCTATACATCACTTTTGTTGCATACAATTTTGATCTCAAGTCTACATAATCTGTCATTGGTACACCATTATTTTCGTCTTTCATTAAACCTAAAACTTTTTTATTTACAGGCGGGATTCCATAACTATTTGGTTAGGGATAATCAGATGTATCGAAATATAGGTGACAGTCTCTCTTCATGATTTCGTAAGGGTCTTGATTCTCAATTTCATATATTAGTGAATCGGTGTCAGTATAGAGAACAGAACAATCCTCAAACACTGACGACATATACCCATAGTGAAAGTTAATATAAAGTAGTTTTTGCTAAATCCAGAATTGCTTGACCAACGTATATAGGTTTATTTAAATATACTTGCAATTTCCTTAACTCAACAGCTACCAAATTTTCATTAAATATAGGGCAGTTATTGAACTCTATTTTGAAATATAGGATTCTGCACCGTACCGCCTACTCTATTCGGTTAGAAGACAGATATTAACACGTTTCCGAACAGTCTCTAAACTTTTACTAAATATAGCATTGTTCATTAGT